CTTCCTTCCTTCCTTCCTTCCTTCCTTCCTTCCTTCCTTCCTTCCTTTCCTTCTTTCTTCTCTCTCTCTCTCTCTCTTTCTCTTTCTTTCTTTTTTTTTTTTTTTCTTTTTTTTTTTTTTTTTTTTTTTTTTAGGTGGAGTCACTCTATTTGCCCAGGCCGGAGTGCAGTGGCATGATCTTGGCTCACTGCAACCTCTGCCTCCCAGGTTCAAGTGATTCTCCTGCCTCAGCCTCCCAAGTAGCTGGGATTACAGGTGTGCACCACCATGTCCAGCTAATTTTTGTATTTTTAGTAGAAACGGGGTTTCACCATGTTGGCCAGGTTGGTCTTGAACACCTCACCTCGTGATCCACCCACCTTGGCCTCCCAAAGTGCTGGAATTACAGGTGTGAGCCACTGTGCCCAGCCAAGCCTCAGTCTTCTTGTGTTCACCCACTTCTTGGTCCCATGAAGGTGGTCCTTGGCAAGTAGCACTTTAGTCTTAGGGTTCATGGGAGGGATGGAATGAAGGCCCACGCCTCCTCCCAGCATCGACATTTTTCTTAGTGCCCCAATGCCTACTATAGCTTTGTTTTCTCCTGCACTTCTTCCCTGGTTTTCTAGGCTCTTAAATCCTCAAATTTGACTTGCATGCCCTCTAGTGGCAGGTCTGATGCACTCCTTGTTACCCTGTTTATTGTGGTACCATGACAGCTGTTCTCACCACCCAGCTCTGTTACTAAATATTATCTCTAATTCACAAATGCCAAATGAGAGGTTCAGTGGTCCTGACTTGCCACTCAAGTAGGACCTGGAAATGTGGGATTTGAATTAGAGCTCTTGATTCCTGGATTTATACAGCGTTTCAGTATAACTGCAACAGTAAAACATATATGGTTACAGCTGTTCTAGTTTCTTCTTCATGGTTAAAAAAGAATTCAAGCCGGGCGCGGTGGCTCACGCCTGTAATCCTAGCACTTTGGGAGGCCCAGGCGGGTGGATCACGAGGTCAAGAGATCGAGACCATCCTGGTCAGCATGGTGAAATCCTGTCTCTACTAAAAATATAAAAAATTAGCTGGGCATGGTGGCGCATGCCTGTAATCCCAGCTACTCAGGAGGCTGAGGTAAGAGAATTGCCGGAATCCAGGAGGCGGAGTTTGCGGTGAGCCGAGATCACGCCATTGCACTCCAGCCTGGGTAACAAGAGCAAAACCCCGTCTCAAAAAAAAAAAAAAAAAAAAAAAAGAATTCAGATTATTTTATTATCCACTCAGCTAATCTGAAAGGACAAAAATGTGAGGAATAGTGGAAGATAAGAATGATCATCTTTTTTTAACCCTTCCTTCATTACAATTATAATTTTTTTTTGTCATTTAGTATTCAGTATTTCATGCCTCAGTCCTGTTAACTTTGAGGAATACAGAAAATATATAAAGCATGATGTCTGCCTTTAAATTTATGTTCTGGTTAGATTCTAGTTATGAGGCATTTAAATTTCTTCAATTGAGGAAAAAAATTAAGCATAACACACAATAACTTTTATTGGTGTTTAATGTTTTTACTTCATCTCACTAAAGACAGGTTCTCTGAGCATTTACTTTTAAATTTATTCTTAAAGTCCTTTTCAGTGGAGAGAGAACTACAGGATAACAGCAGTTACCTCGATGAACCCTGGAGGATAACAGAAGAACAGCGCGAGTACTATGTCAATCAGTTTCGATCCCTTCAGCCAGACCCAAGCTCTTTCATTTCAGGTAAAAATGTGGGCTCCCCAGGCATAGCTGTCACTGGAATCACAGCCACCATCTTGAGAAATCATTCATGCAAAATGGATATGGTGGCCTTCCGTGATTTCAGTTTGTTTTCATCTAAGGTCCAAGTTCTTATCAGATGTAAACCATGCAGAAAAAAAGTTGCCAATGACATTTGGAAAATTATGTTTCCGTTTCAAAAGGCTTAAATGGGAATTTGGGGGGAATCTGGCCCAGACCTGCACCTTATCAGCTGAGGCAGTTCTCGAAATGATAAGAGTGTCGTGCTGAGGGGCCGCCTCTCATTGCTTCCTCTTTATATTAGAGCTCGAGCAAGGACAGAATGTGGTCCCCTAATGAGTTGGTGTCGCAGGTCTTTTTGTTATTTGTGCCTTCAAACTTCAAACTCAGGCTCGTTTTCTTTGGCTCAAGTGTTTCTCCTCCAGCTTTTTTGAGAGAAACTAAATTGGGGAAGAAAAATTGGCCAGTGCTTTCCCACTTGTCAGTTGTTCTGGGTTGTCTTCAGATATATAGATTCCTGTTGAATTCTCATGTAAAATTCAAGCTGAGAGGAACTGATGTAATGCCAGTGTGGCTACATTTTACCAGGCTGAAGGACTAAACTAACAGTGAAATAGTAGAGTCTGGAAGAAAAATTCATAAACCTTTCTTTTTAGATTTAAAAATTTGAAGAATAACAGTATGTTCTTAATAATTGTAACCTGCCATATTGAAGTGTAGGCTAAGATTTTTTTAATCTTGTGAAATGAGGCACATAAAATTAAAATATACTTATATAAATAATTGCAAACATCATTTCCTGATTGGTGGTAATGGCTTTATTGATGGCAGAATAGTACAGATATAACAAATTAATGTTGATGTTATGATTAAAGAAAAATAAGCAGAAACCCGTATTGCATGATTTGACCACTTGCTAGTCTTACCCTGTGTTCAGGTGAGTTTCTTCATGACATATGCAGGTATTTAGCCAAATGCAAACAGGTAATTGTTAGAAATGTTTTTTTTTTTTTTTTTTTTTTTAACTTTTGTATCTTGCAGAATTTCAGATGTAGACACAACTAGACTGGCTGGTGTAACAAACCTCTGTGTACCTATTACATAGCCCCAGTGATTTTCTCTTACCTACAGTTACCACATAAAGATATTTCAGTCAGTCAGTGGTGGCAGTTCCATAACAGTATCATGGAGCTGAAAAACTCCATTCATCACCTAGTGATGCTGTAGCCATCATGATGTTGTAGCACAAGGCAGTGCTCACATTTTTGTGATGATGCTGATATAAACAAATCTGTGCTGTCAGTTGTATAAAAGCCTAGCACATATGATTATGTACAGTATATAATAACACTAAATGACCCTTATTAGCTTATTATATATTATGCTATACTTTTATTGTTACTTTATAGTATACTCTTACTTATATAAAAAAAGTTAACCGTAAAATAGCCTCAGGCAGGAACTTCAGGAGATATTCCAGAAGAAGGCATTGTCATCATAGGAGACAACAGCTCCCTGCGTATTATTGTCCCCTTCTAGTCACCTCCATGGTGTGGCGGCGGAAGACAGTGTTATTGATGATCCTGACCTTGTGAGAGCCTAAGCTGATAAATATCTGTATTTCAGTTTTTAACAAAAAAGTTTAAAAGTTAAAAAAATCAAAAAATTAAAAAATAGAAGTAATAGAATAAAGATATAAAGAAAGAAAAATTTTTGTACAGCTGTACAATTTTTTTAAATTTTTAAATTTTTGTGGGTACATAGGTGTATATATTTTTGGGGTACATGAGATGTTTTGATACAGGCACACAATGTGAAACAAGCACATCATGAAGAATGGGGCATCCATTTCCTCAAGCATTTGTCTATTAAGTTGCAAACAATTCAACTACACTCTTTAAATTGTTTTAAAATTGTACAATGTGTTTTTGTTTTAAGCCAAGTGTTACTACAAAGGAGTCAAGAAGGTTAAAATAAATTTTAAAGTTTTTAAAGTGAAAAACTTACAGTAACCTAAGGTTAATTTATTATTGAAGAGAGGAAATTTTTTTTTTGTAAATTTAGTGTACCCGAGTGTAGAGTATTTACTAAGTCCAAAGTAGTGTAGAGTAATGTCCTAGGCCTTCATATTCACTCACCACTCACTCTGTGACTTACCCAGAGCAACTTCCAGTCCTGCAAGCTCCATTTATGTTAAGGACCTTATAGAGGTGAACCATTTTTCATCTTTTATACCGTATTTTCACTCTATGTTTTCTATGGCCGCCCGGCCTTCCTTCTTTCCTTCCTTCCTTCCTTCCTTCCTTCCTTCCTTCCTTCCTTCCTTCCTTCCTTCCTTCCTTCCTCCCTTCCTCCCTCCCTCCCTCCCTCCCTCCCTCCTTCCCTCCTTCCCTCCTTCCTCCCTCCCTCCCTCCCTCCCTCCTTCTTCCCTCCCTCCCTCCCTCCTTCCCTCCTTCCTCCCTCCCTCCCTCCCTCCCTCCCTCCTTCCCTCCTTCCTCCCTCCCTCCCTCCC